ACCTTTTAGTCAAACTTTGCATCAAATCCATGAAGCCCTTCGCGTTTCTCACATGTCTGGGACCCCAACGTCATAAATATGTCACAAATTGGCACTCGAAGGGACTCGAAAATTATGAGCAACACGAGTTACGTGGCTTACGAGGGACTAAACTGCAATGAAAAATACCTTTTTGGCATAAATAACACGCCTCTATGAATATAAGTACCGGAAGACATCTGCTCAACCAAGTCTATGAATACGACCGCCTATATCTCTGCATCGAAGAGGAAGTCACTTGCCGCCGCTACGAAAAAAAATGTCAAAATAAGACTGCTCATAGAAATCCCTCACAGGCTCACTTGGATCGGCGAAGCATCCTAACAGTCTCGGCAGCGGATTTCTCCTTCGCCTCTTTCTTGCTAGAACCCGCTTGGTTGTAGGATGCCCAAGCTTGACCATTCACTGCGAGAAAAGTGAGTTGTCATTAAGGTCTTTTTTCTGCATAGAACTCACCTATGGGATAGCAGTACCAGATTGTTGTCTGCTCAGGACCTTCACGTAACTCAGCCCACTCCAGAGTGACGCGGTTTTGCGCGGCTAATTCAGTGAGCTGGGTGACGTATGGCTTCTGAGTCGAAGACACGAAAGTGTGTCCAAGGATGACAGCTTTGAAATCGGCCATTTTATCTCTTGGAATAAATTGCGTTTGAAGGATGATTCGATGTATGGGTTCTGTTTCTGTCGAACTCCATCGAACTAATTCGATTTATAGAAGAGAAAGACCGTGCTCGACGGCTTGCGCTGCTTGCTTTGAAACAACCTCAGACCGTCGGTGGTGCAAGGTCTGTGAACCACCAGCACCACCAAAGGTCCTGTTGCGATCTCTACGCATACCCCAAAGTCAATAATCTTTGCTTCCCTTGAGGTATCTTCAATCCGCCGCCATCATTTCACCGATCAGCGTCATAGTTACAGTTTGAACGACGCTTAGGAAGCTATTGGCTCACTCTCCGTCGTCAGACACAGGTGCTCACCTGTTCGAAACTATACCTAACTCGGTCTTCAATTAATCCGGAAGCTCTTGCGCTACTGGAGATCTGGGCCATCAGTGGCGGAGAGGTGCCACACCTTTCGGTTCCGTCCTCTCATTCACAAATAGCACTATGCCACGCGCATCGTGTGCTATATGTGGCATAATTTTGCGTCACAGACAAGAGCACAGATTGAATAAATGCCTGCAACATAGCATTGCTCTGACTCAATATGAAGTGGCAGTACTTTCCGCATTCTCGGTCGGAAACTGCTTCATAAGCGATGCAGCGTTCCTAACTCCGTTGGTGATTCACGTTGGAAACTTGTCTGAACTTCATTAATGATTCGCGGTTAGCACATCATAAAGCTCGTACTAGGACCTACTTGTACTGCGAGAACATCAAGTGATTACGTACTAACACGTGTATCTGGGAATTCTTGTGCTTGGTCGACGTCGTTCTTCATCGTGGAAAACAATTTCTTTTCGAAAGCATCTGCGATCCAGTCTCGTCAATCGCCATATATGTAAAGGTACAGCTTCAAGACGCGGACAGGCGCCACATGGCCGGAATGGCGCTCTTTGTTCTCCACCAATAGTCGTCCGGCGTCTGAAGAATTACCGGACTGGCCCCTGATGAACCCATCTGGATCGTACATCGAACTACGCTTGTCACGGCCTGCAAGGTCGCTCTACGATTCACATCGTACACTAATCCTGCGAGTCTTTACTAATAGGACTATTAAGCGCTAGACGTTGAGACTTTCTGAACACAGGACCTCTGCAGATGGCTGATCGGCGCATACTCGATCATTAGCGCTCCTTCACAGAGGCGTCGTCGGGTTGTACTATCCCTTTAGCATTATCCAATGCGCGTCGTCTGATCGGCTGTATGAACTCAGTCATGCCACGAACGATCGGCGATTATCCGGAGGAGTTCTGTTTCCTACTATCGCGTCACAGAATATTCTCGATACCTCGTTTTACCTTGATACAGCTGAATTTTATACGGCAAATCGGATACGGCGCAGGCAGCATCATTAAGATCTTGCTCTTTGTGCGAATGAACGAGTCAATGTCAGGTCATCGGTGACGTCGCCGATCGTGTATAGAAAGAGTCCGTTGATACATAAAGTAGGCTACATACTGACAGTTCACGACAAGCAAGGCAACAGATAAATTACAGTAAATTCTCCCCTTCTGCGATAACACGAGATATAAGGGAATAACTCTAGATAAATAAAATATACATGAAAGGCAGGCGATCGCCATGGAACGCGGAGACTGTAGGGACTTCAAATACTGATGGTACGAGCATAAGTGTTACAACCATTACAGCGCATTGGAAAACTCACTACAGTCCGCGAAGCTTCATTATGACATCTTCTGCGGATTTCTCCTTTGCGTCTTTCTTGTTTGAAGCAGCCTGGATATACATGGTCCATTTCTGTCCGTTCACTGTCCGTTTCGGGATCAGCAGGCGTGTTTCGGAGCTTCGAGGAGCTTACCGATAGGATACACCTGCCAGATAGTATGATGATCTGGGCCATCACTCATTTCCTCCCATTCCAGGGTGACGCCATTCCGAGACGCGAGCTCAGAAAGCTGAGCGAGGTATGTTTTCTTCCTGGACGAAATGAAACTATGCGCCATGATAATTCGCTTGAAGTCGGCCATCTGAAGCTATTGAATGAGGATTTTGCTTGAAGGTGAGGATGAAGTCCACCCATTTCCAGCAGGTTTTATGGACCGAGTCGTTCTTGTTTACTCCAACATCCCCAATACGCTAATCACACGGCGGTGGTCTGCATGGTCCTCCGAGCGTGCACAATCGACCTGCCGATGATCACCTTGGCATCTCTCCATATGGTCGGGGTGTTTCCGGGTAGGGTAAGGGGAACGTTTGACGAAAGCCAAATGTTAACATTCAACGTCTAGCTGATGCGTCTCACGCATATCATAACGGGGAAATTAGCCGAGATCGAGTCATTGTTTAGCTGCTGCCTAGTCAATTTTTGGGTACCTCGCTGAAGGGTGGAGCTCACAGCCGCAACCTTACAAGAGCATTGAAAAAGAAATTCCGGGTGTTAAAATAATCGTTCAATACAGACTATGCGCTAACTCAGGGTTATATCAGTGAAATGAAGTTTCGGGACCCTATAGGATCATCCTGAATCTTTCCTTTTCTTGTCTCTTAATGAGGAAACAGAGGCACAGGGAATAGCTCTTTGCGTTGCCAACTGCACAGCCACTCAATTCATGCTTATCTCTCTCGCCGACGGTGAAACCGGGAGGACCTCAACGGTGTCTTCTGCACCTGATCTAGAATAGATCCCGCGCCGACTTTGTGCGCCGACTCTAGTACTTGAAGAGCCACTCGATCGAGGGTGTTCTCGGTGCTTCGAGTCCGGAGTTCATCGAACGAAGCGACGTCACGGCGCTTCTCGAGCACTTGATTGAATTTGAGTTTAGCAGAGCGAAATCACAGTTCAGTCTTGACTCTGAAAACTCTGATCCTCTATTTTACTTCGAACGATCTTAGTGAAGACTGCAGCTGAGTAGCCGCAAGCGAAGAGTTGAGGGAGATATTAAGTCTGCGTATCAGCAAGCAGTGCTCAACCACTTTGACTATCTATCGAGCCACCCCTACCATGTGGCTCAAGACCACATTCAAGAACAAGACGAAGTCTTGCAAGTCCACGACAGGCGAAACGAGCTCCTTCAATTTTCAATTCTCAGAGTACAAGACTCCGAGTCGATGCCCAATCAATGACTCCACCCGAGCCATCAGCAAAACAATCGCAACACACCAACACTCCCGATGACAACATCCATGCCAACGTCCAACGTCTTTCAAACAATCTTCATCGTGATCAAACCGCCACTCCGAACCCGAACCCGGCTCCGAGTCCACCGGCGGAGCCGACGGGCTCGGACACTTCGGACACTTCGGGCACTCTTGCACGTCTTAAGCCTAGGCGCTTATATATGATGCAGGGTCGCCGAATGGGCATGATTCGCGAGCGGATTGGTCTACTGGTCTCCCATCTCAGGGATTGCGGATCAGTAAGAAATCTACTCTTACCCTTCAGCCTGAGCTTCAGGCACTGCCCATGTTCACTGTGACAGAATTTTCCGGATCCCATTACATGTAACACTGAGAAAAGCATAGAATTACTTACTGTATCACACACGATCTCCTCATAATCTAATCATCATATTTTAAAGACCCGCTAGACCCATGATGTCCATCAGATACATCCCACACCATACAAGTGACAGAAACCCGGATTGAACGAGAGATCAGAGCCGAGATCATGGGTCAGTGGTTCAGCAATTCGTTTGCTTTTACCCTTCAGCTCCAGCGCCGTCCAGCTTCCGACTAGGAAGATCAACGCCCGTGACTATCAAGACAGATTCTCAGAAAAATACGTCGGAAAAGATCGGCATAAACTGTTTGTCATAAGCCTTAAGAAAGTCACCTAACTCACCTTAAGCTCGAGCAATCTTTCGCGGTCATAAACGCCATTGAGATCTCTCGAACGCATTCACCGGCATTCGTACGTGGACCCACCAATATCGCGTGGAAACTCTGGAGGTTGATGTTGAGAATGACCGGATGTGAAAGACATCGGCTGCAGTCGCGCTTCGCGAAGCATCCACTCGGAGTAATTCGTACTGTCTGAATTTGGCTGCACTTGGTGGTTTGGTGGGGACAACATATCTTTGGTAGCTGCGTTGCCAGAGGGTATTACGACCAGGAACACGGTCTTATCGACTCTTGTGAACGCCCATCAAGTCCCGCGAGAGCACCAACTTGTTAACTCCGTGTTACCTCCGCAGCGAGGGTACTCAAAGAAGCAGTTCCCACCAACGAACATGAAGGAAAAAAACTCTCCAAAAATTTACTGAGGTCGGGAGGAGCCTAGAGATGATACTGAAGCCAAAAATAGATTCCCAGGTCTGAACAGCAAAAAGGAAAAAGGAATGCCATGAGCCCGGATCGAACGGGCGACCTTTAGAATTAAGATTGATCCGGGGATGTGCCCGAACCACCCGCTTCAGTCTACTGCTCTCCCAGCTGAGCTATCACGGCGATATTATAGTGTGATAAATCTATAACTATGAACGTCTGTTGGTGCCACGACCCGACTTCATAAACTCAAGTACGAGAAACTGGAACCCACTCGATCATTTGAATTAGAAATGGGGAAAGAGGGAAGGTCACTATAAGGACTAGCTCGCAAAGGGGAAAGGATGGATGAACAAGACATGGAAATCGAGCGCAGCGAATTATCTCCAGCTTCCCTGGGGGGATTAATATTGCTCCGGATTTGAAGACCCTGAATTTCACATTGTATCCCTGTCCATGAGACTGGAAACCTGTAATCGACTGGTTCTTGTCTATTCTTATAGATTGAGACTCGGCGACCCGATTGCTCAATGCATTATCAACCTTTGACTTGAAATTCACCTTCACACAGACTTTCAATGTTCGACTCGCAGAGATCACGGCGTATACGTAGACCTGGTCTTGTCCACAACTTTACACCCATTTGCAATGAAAGTCGGACATCAAGTTAGCGCTTCTGACTCGAACGCTCTCGACAACAAGACGATCAAGCAGACGGGCGAGTCGACTAATTTGCAACAACCGTCGTCGGCGTCGGAATTATAACGGGCGCCCGACCACGAGTCAGGCACGCCCCCGACTCGCCGCCGCGCATATGCATGTCTCATGTACATTTGTGGGTCGTAGAATGCATGTCAACTTGTCTTCTATCCAGCGTCTTGTATGCATTTCAACATGCATAACCGACGGTTGACATATGAGACACGACGCTTGAGAGTTGATGTCGACGATGAGGAAGGCCAGTTCGAGACAAGACACTGCAAACATTTGAGAACAAACCCGAGCAAGCTTAGGAGAAGAAACTCAGACGGAAGAAAACTAGAACGATGTATTATATACAAAGAGATCACAAATCGAGCGCAAATCGGACGACGACGACGTAAGAACAACATGTTAATAATAAGTCGGCGAAGCCGTTGAAATCAGGAATGAGATGTAACATAAGTGGTGGCCAAGAAGAAACTAGGTACTGGGAAGAGGAAGCAGAAAGTGGGGAACAAGACAAGCACACATCGGTGAAATCATTGGTTCAGTCAGAGTAAGACGGCACAGGCGTAGGTGAACTATGCCTCAGCCTTCGGGTTCTCCTTTGCAGTCTTCCAGTTCTGCGTAGCCATCTTGAACCTAACAACCATCATCAGGACTAGTTGCCGAAGAGAGAGAGGGTAGAAAAGAAGGACGCACCGTTCGAGATGGGGAGTATTAGGTTCAGTCTCCTTGAGACGTGCAAGTTCGGTTTGCATGAATTTATTGTACGCTGAGACCTTCTTCGTGCGGCCACCGGATTTCGCTAATGATGAAGACGTTAAAAACGCGGAAGTGGAAAGGGGAAGAAAAAGGGCGTACTCTTCTTGGCGGGTTTCTCAGCGTCGGCGACGGCTTTCTTAGGAGGCATTATCGATCAGGCCTATCATCCATGAGCCATCCGTCAGTCAATCCATCACCACAAGCTACAGAAACCATCACGCACAAGTTCGACCAAGTTCTCGCAAAGTTTCAGCTGTTCGTATCAAAACCGCCCAAACGTTGAGCAAAATTCCCTAAAATAATCAAAAGTCGCAAATCAACACGACAGTCCATCCAAACACACCCAACACGTCTAACAGAACCACACGTACTTCAAGTAAAAGATCAAACTAGGTGATTCCCAAAACTGCGAGTCCGGGGATGCGAACACTACAGGCGGTATGAGGGAGAAGAGAGGGACGCGACGCGGGCATTTTCTGGAGTGAGCTGTGATTGTATGTGTCGCTCGAGGGCTTAGCGGGAGTCCGGGTCGGAGATCGGATGTGGAGGAACTTCCCATGCATTTTGGTCACGTGGACGGAGGTTGCCGGTCATGCCGTCGGCATGAGGGTCTGGCTTCTTTCTTTCCTCCCATTTGGGCGAAATGGAAGCGGGGATGGAAGTTTTTTGGCGTTTTGGGATGGGATGTGCCGGATTTGGGATAGGGTGTAATTTGTGACTAATTTTAATGTTGGCAGGGTTGAGAGGAAGCCCGCTGGGCTCATAAGCAGAGCCATCATGCATCATGTATCAAATTACACGTAGTCGTCCATCTCGACGATGATCACGTCGACTTTCTCCCGGCCGTTGCTTCAAAACAGTTTCTTGCCAGTTCTAAGTTGCACAAACTATGACTGATCAGAGCTGTTCAGTCGTTCCGCTATCGGCAGAGAGCCCCGGGTTCGAAGATCGCCAAAGAAATCCCTAGACGTCGTGAGATATGCAGAATAAGATCTCTTCGTCAGTCTGACAGTACTAGTCTAAAAAATCTCAGAAATGCTGTTCCCTGGCTTGCACATAGACCAATTGACGAAACAGCTCCTTGTCAGCGACTCGAGCGGTGTTTGATGCGAAAATTATGTGACACCCCAAGATAATGAAAGATTGTGCGGCGATCGTAGATTAGTTCATGGAAGATCATCCTGCTAATCAACTTGAAGGGCCAGATTGGGCGAAGTCTGCGTGTGATGCTACCGATAGTTTGCCAAAGAGTATGCCGTAGTATCGTATCAAAAGATGCGCGCAGGTAGTGAGAGTTCCATTATGCCAAGACAGGTCGAAAGCCAGTCCTTACAGTCCGAAGCCATACGACGGGCGTTTTCTTCGGCGGAAACGGATCGTCATGCCTCCAGAACATGCTACCCAGAGGATTTGGATTGCGAAAATTGTTCGGTTTGATTCCGCCCCGCTTGGTCTGATGTGTGTCGATATGCTTCCCAATTTCGAAGTACTGCTGCGCCGAGCTTTGCACGCTGAGAGCTTATTTATACACAGAGTCGCTAGACATCTGTGCAAAGAGACCAATAACCATGCGTAAACAGATAGATCAGTCATAAGGACGCCATTGAAAGTGATTAGGCGCCCGTTGGTCGAGACCGACCGCAGTCGAGGAAGAGTGGGAGAGAGTCCTATCAGGAGGATATTCATGTCGTGGTCTATGAAAGACGGGGCGTCTTTCTAGCGACGAGTCTTATCTCTCCAGCGTTTGCGTTTTCTGAAGGGAAGTTCGGCCCTTCAAGTCCTAGACGCAGTCAGAAGGCCATCGCAAATTTGGAGCGGGTAACAGGGGTAACAGGGGTAACAGGGGTTGTTGATAGAGTTAACGGTCCATAATGCGGGCAGTCTGAGACTCGAAACCCCATATGTGCGATCGGTCGGGTGCGAGCTGTCTGGAGCCTTCGGTCAACTGAAGTCTTTGATTGCACTATGCACCACTCACTCGCATTGCTGAACACTGTCAGAATTCTCTCCACCCATACACGACTACGTTGATTGGGTAACCGAATGCAGACTTGAAATGCCTGTGGGTCCTGGTTCGACCGACCGTCGCTTGGACTTTGTGAGCATAAGAGCGAAAGCGAACTTTGCGACGCGAACACACCCAGTTTCGCATCAAGATTCTGCATTTCCTGACATATGCGCTGTCTACCAGGAAGGCTTGCCCTTTGTGCACTGAGAGTCTTCATAGTTGAGTAGCTTGTAAGGGGTCTGCGTCGCCGACGCTACGGGTCATGCAAGGGTCACCGCTGTCGAGTTCGAGATGCCATTGCGGCTTTCAGGATATAGTCTCCGGTGGAGCACATAGAACAGCTGAGCAGAGTTCAGCCTTCATGCTTGCTTTACAGATGGTCGAATATCCATGGATGACTGCAAAACTTCGAGTCGAGCCAGCCATTACCACATTACATAAGCCGACGCTTGAACTCGAATTGCAACAACTCGAACGGTTCACTCGAACAAAGTCCCGAGCACTACGTTTAAACCTTAGGCATCCGGCCCAAGGCTCGAATTTGAATGGTAGGTCAAGTGATTTATAATTGTCAGCCATAGTCCCTAATCATCTGACAGAAAATCGCATGCGAACGCGCTCCTGCTCCTGGTTTGAGTCGTTTGACTGAAATGTCACTGAATTGCACCTGCAGCCGATTCCCAAATTCTGTTTTGCTAGAGGTGGAAGCGAACTATAGGATGTGAAGCTGTCTTGTGTAGTCGATGCATCTGCTTCCAATCCTTGAGAGACCTACAAGACATCTGTCTAAGCCACGCTCTTTTCTCTCGCGTCATCGAACTAGCTGTCAATTCCCGGTTGTAACACTTGAAAGACTGTGACGGGGGACATTTCGTCTCCATGTCAATATCAATGAACGCCTCAGCATCCAAGTCCCATTCTCTGTCGTTCAAAGAAGGGGAGTAAGTGCTTCCAACCCACCTATTTTCGGAATAATCATAGAGCCGACTGACTTAGGCACTTGTCGCCGCAGTTACTATCTATAGCTAGGTCAAGCTGTTCCCTGGACCCGTCTCTACGTTTCCTCGGCCAGATTTCCAATCAATTATATTGAGTGTGGGTCCACCAACCCGTCATCGGAGTTCCTGAAATCTGGGTTGACTCATTCAAGTCAGCCGATCACGCGGTCCAATCTATAATGTTCTCGGTTCATGAAAACTGTGTTTGGATGCTCTAGTGAGTGGAAACACACCAAGTTATAGCTTTTGGGATCCCCCCGCCCAACGATACAGAGCGGAAGGGAGGGGCCATATTATTCGAGTGGGTCATCAATCTCAACGCATCTATTGTTCAGCCGCTTTTCATGAACTCGTGGTTTATCGTGACGGAGATTAGTCCAAAGGAAGTAAAAAAGCAATGACCCAAGGCTCCGCCGCTCCGCGGAAGATCTCATGTGCCTTGGCTCTCGCTAAATGGTTCTGCTTCTGCCGGGGCGCGTCGTAATTTGCTTTTTGCTCTGCGTATTGTCCCTTTGGGGTGACGTATCGGAGCCTTTCACATTCCACGGCCGGCGGGGAGTAAATAGGCTTCAGTCGGAATCTCGGATTTCCTTTGTACGGTTGTAACCAAGCTCCTGGTGCCTGACGATAAGTCCGAGACTTCTCTGCCTTCTCCGAACCCAGTGTCTCAGATGCTCAAAACACCGTCAGAACCAAAGCTCTCGACATCT